ATTATTATCATTTTAACGAGTGGTTTAAAGTTTTTAAATCCTGATTCCAAAGCTTCTGGAGACTTTTCAACCCGTCTCTTTCTGACATTGAGGAAAACTCTGTTGTTTGACGTCACGGAACAAAGCCGAGGCTGCGATGGACCACAGACTCACCTGACCACAACAAAGGAAGCGACGTTCTGATGAGGAGTAGGTGCGCCTATAAATATTACACAAACACTTCTGCTTTATTTATACCTTTGGGTTTTTAATAAAGGCTGTGTGGTAAAATTATAAACATATTACAACAACTGGATTTTAAGAATCTCTTTGCATTAAAACAGTTTGAAAATCCAAAGGTTAAAAAATGTAATAAACAGTAAAAGCTGTTTAATAACAGAAAGTAACGGATAATTCTCTGGGTGGCAAAGAACAAAGGTCATTAAGAATAAGGAAGTAAATTCAAACTAGAGAACTGCTGATATTTAGTAATAATACAACATATTAATATTAATTATAATATTGGTGAAAATATTTTTGTTTTGCTGCAAAAAAAGCTTGTTTAAAAAGCAATAATTACCAATGCATGATGCTATTAAATGCTATTAGTGATATTTTGCTAACATAAATACTTTCTAATTGCACTAAAATATAAAAAACAGATCAGAAGAACTCATGATTAATACAATAAATATTTCCTGGAAACATTAATAAATCTGCAGCAATGATACGTTTGTACTGTACGTTTTGGAAAATGAGCATAAACTCAGAAATTTATTCATTTTTTACAACTTTTTTTAATCTTCGGCTGATGCTCATTCCTGCAAGAAACACTACTTTTATTTTACCCAAATTAAAATATTTCTGAAAGAAAAACCTCAATGATCCTGTTTAACTGCAGACAGACGTTAAAATGCAACATATTCTTAGAAATTCAGACATAAGTTAGTTTATTAGTTTTCCTCCATGTTTTCATGAAGATAAAGGAGATTTTATAAATAAAGTGAACAGATCATTGCCCACCTTTTAGACCGAGGAAGTGACATGTTTGTAATTTTGGTCAAWCCTAAAAATAAAGTAAATTTKTTCACCCGCCAACACTCTGAGCAGCTGCTGTGGACGAGTCTCGGCTACTACCACGCTGAAGTTTAGCTCSTAACTGCAAAAAATAACTGATTTGTGTCCATTTTGAATTGGCTCTGATTATTAATGAGTTGTAGACGAGCAGCTTTAATTAAAACTGGTCCAGTGGTTCATGAGATATTTTGTTAACAGACTGAAAAACATGCATCAGACACAGGTTTTGTTTTAAAAATAATAAATAAATTAATTAATAAACATTTAAAGAGGAATGCACTCACTATATGCAGAGGCACAGGGCTCCCTGGATGCTCTCGCTCTCCCGGATCAGGTACGCCCCGTCCTTATTCTTGGCCCCCAGCAGGTCCTCGCACTCCTTCTTGGTCATGGGGCCGTGGTAGCACTCGGGCAGGGCTGCAGCCATGGTGCACGGAGGACGGGCAGACAGCAGCAGCACAAAGTCACATCTGGACGGGCAGGAGTCAGCTCTGCAGAATGACAGAATGACAGCAGGAACCCAAAAGGCTCATCGGTTTCACAGGAAGTGAGCTCGCAGATCTGAGAGTGACACTCTGAGGCTCACACTCAGAATAAAAAGAGGAAGAAGCAACAACACCTCAAACTCACAGCGTGCCGAGAACAGAACGTCACGCTGCAGGTTCTCATTTATCCTCCTTCCATCAGTCAGGCACTTTTTATCCCCTGAGGTTAGAAATGATCACTCTTTTCAAAATAAAAGGCCTGAATTACATGATAAACAACTTAAAGCTCAAGACATGTATGAGGATAACTCTCAGTTACCACCACACCAGATTTTAGTTCCATATCTTCAAAACAGACTAAGTTATACCCTTTTTTGTGCTGCTCCTTCCAGGAGACTGCGGCGGCCATCTTGRACAGGGCTGACTTCAAATGTTAATCAAAATCCWTCCACCRCTTCATGAGATATTTTACTAACAGAGACAGAAATGTTTTTAATCTGACCTGTTTTCCCTCCTGATAAAAACATCCCCATACCATGATGCTGCCACTTCCGTGCTTCACTGTGAGAATGAGGATGTCAGCGTGATTTTAGTTGTTTTTGTTTTCATAAACAAAATTAATTTGGGGAAGAAGAAACCATCAGCCTTCCTTATTTTTAATTAAAGTGTGAAAATGTTTTATGGTAAATCTGACAGATCAGTGATTTTTCATCTTAAAATGATTAAAACTCCTCCAGGTGAAGCAGCAGGTGACAGGTTTTCTTTAATTTTCTCATTTTCCCAACATCCTGTCTGTAAAGCAGCTCTGAGCTGAGTGAGTTYACATGTTCTCTGTCTCTGTTGGATGAGCAGCAGTCCTCCAGACGTCATCTTGTGGTTAAACATTATCTCCCTTTACTTCCTGCAGCTGATCCTGTGTCAGCTCAGATGTCTTCTTCATGTCGTTTAATCTGAGTTAACAAAAATCATATATTTTTTGTTTGAGTKAAGCATAGTTTTTTTCATCAAATGTCACAAAAAACAAAAATAAAAACATTTTAAATACAAATATTTTTGTAAATCAGCAGGAAAATTAACTCATAATTAATCAATTTTTACTAAAAGCTGTTATTTAACAGAAACA